AGCATCTAAAAAATCCAGGCTTTTCGCTTTTTTTGGTGACTTCTTGTAGCAACTCTGGAAGGAAGGTGAATAACCCTTTTGTTCAAACAGTAAACTGAAGCTCAATGGAGGACTTACCCAAAGGTGGGGCATACTGCTTGTAAGTGGCAGAGCCAGAACTGGACCACATACATGTTTGATTTCACAACTTGAACTCTTTTCACTATACCATGCCGTGTGAAAATTTGATACTTAGTTTGACTCAACCTAAATAATTAGTTTATCAAGGTTTTCTTAAGGTCATGTTTCTTTAGAGCTGTGGTTATTGTTACCAACAAAAATACTTGAAGTGCTTCGTACTGGAAAGTGGTAGAGTATTTCTGACTCGGACAGGTTTATAAATTTGTAGTGGTGGTGGTAGTGGTAGTGGTATGATGATGGCACAAGAGTTAACAAATACTGCCCTTTTTTAAGAAGTTCAGAAAATTTATGTAATTCACAAGTGTCACTTTTGTTCAGTGTTATAAATGAACTTATTTTGGACTCTAGCTATCTGGTGAGAAACAGCATAGACCAACTTTCTGAACATTTTTGTAGCAACTATTTGGACCTTAATTATAACAAAGATAGCTACAGAAATAGTGTGGCCTTTTTCTACATGTGAAACCTCACTTTAAGCCCTTACTAATCTCAGTACAGGTTGAGTAGCTCTTATCTGGAATTCTTGGGACTAGAAGTGTTTTGGATTTCAGATTTTTTTCAGATTTGGGATGTTCAACATGTAGTACCTGTAATACTTAAAATATTTAAACTGGGAAAACATCGACTAACCACAGAGCTGGAATTTTTCCGAAGACTAATGAATAAAAATCACCTTTTTAAATGGGAAATTAGCATATTTTAAAATCCTGTTGCAACTAAGGCACATTAGTGATAGAGCTGAGGTAGTTAGATATTTCTGCTTCCCCCACCCAGAGAACCATATCAGAAGTTTAGGAAAATCTGGCAGTCATAAGTTACATGGAAATAGAGACTCCAAAGGGAAAAGATGCAGTTTGTGTATCGTTCCCATATTTTCCTAATGATTTCTTATATTTCCCTAGTCCTAATACAATAATGGCCTAGAGTTAGATTGTCTATACAAGTAAGACTCTAATTCATATTTTTAAAAAGGCCTACCAACTTGCTGTTAGAAGTTATATGACTTGCTTCTTTTGATTTTTCTCTTGTAATGGTATTTTTCCCTAAATGTTTGAAGATTAAAATTTTTTTATGCTAATCACTTTAAAAAGTAAAAATACTGAGGTTGGAACTTGGTTAAATCAAGGAATTAACTTTATTTGTCTTTTTTGCATGCACTAGAGAATTTTTACTATTTATAAGTAGCATCTATTTCATTGTGTGTGAATTTGTATGTAGTGCCAAAGATACTTAGGATTATACAACATTTTAAATTTACTACAATCTGTAGTTAAATTATTTATTCACCATGCAAAACCAATATTTTCCTATGAACACCACAGATCATATATATATGTGTGTATGTGCATGTATATATGTATATATATGTGTGTATATATGTGTGTGTGTATATGCCAGCTAACAACACAGATTAATGCTTTTAGAATTTGACTTTTAATCATGTTCTGCAACTTTGAGTTCCATCCATTTTCTTTTTTTACCCTGGAATGGAACTGCTCTACAAACTTTGTCAAAGGAACTTGAAATTTTTTGAAGTTTTGTCATGAAAAAAAAGACATTTAATTTTGTTAAATGAATAGTTCTCTCCCTTTAGCACACCTGTGTTGAGAAGCTTTGTGTCTGGTTCTGGGGGAAATTAAGACATTTCCTGTCTACTGTCAAGTTATAGGCTATTTGATGCATATTATGATGAGAACAAAATTCTATGAAAGTTTATTAGGAAAATCACTACCTGACACTAGGAAATCAGCAAAAGTTTTTTTGAAAAAGGTCACATCTGAGCTGCCTGCTCATTAAAGGGTATGTTTCTAATATTTTTGGTTAATCAGTTGATATTTTGTGGTGCATAGACAAGCTTCCCATGAGTGGGTTATGGATGTGCTAAGATAGATACTGAATCGTTGAGCCCTTGAGACAACCAAGTGGGGCCTGGGGTAAGCAGGGCTCCCAGGCTAGTCTTGCGCAGTTAAAAGCTGCTTCATCCTTTTACTCCAGTGCTCCGTACAATCACTATCATTTCCCACATGTATCATGTATAAAGAAGCAGTGGTGTAGAGAAATACTATTAGATAAGGTAGTAGAATCTCCACCAAGAATTTCTAAAGGATTATAAGCAAAAGATTAATAACCAAATCTAAATATGGCCTTATATGCTTTTAATTATAGTAAAATGTACATAAAATTCACTGTTTTAACCATTTTTAAGTGTACAGTGCTATGGTATTAAGTACATTCACATTGTTGTACATCCGTGTTATCCATCTTTCCCCGGAGTCTTCCCAAACTGAAATTTTATACCCATGAAACAATAGCTCCCTATTCCTTGCCCCCACTGACAACTACCATTCTACTTTCTATATCTGAATTTTTGACTACTGTAGTTACCTCATTTAAACATTTGTCCTTTTGTGACTGCCTTATTTCACTTAGCAAGATGTCATTAATGTTGTAATAAGATTCGTTTATGTTGTAATATGTGTCCGAATTTTTTTTTTTTTTTTTTTTTGAGAGAAGTCTCGCTCTTGTCCCCCAGGTTTGAGTGCAATGGCTTTATCTCAGCTCACTGCAACCTCCGCTTCCTGGGTTCAAACGATTCTCCTGCCTCTGCCTCCCAAGTAGCTGGGTTTAAGGCACCTGCCACCACACCTGGCTAATTTTTGTATTTTTTAGTAGAGACAAGGTTTCACCATGTTGGCCAGGCTGGTCTCAAACTCCTGACCTCAGATGATCCGGGATTACAGGAGTGAGCCACTGTACCCAGTCAGAATTTCCTTCCTTTTAAAAGCTGAATAATGCTTTGTTGTATGTATGTACCATATTTTGTTTTTCCATTCACCTGTTAATGAACACATGAGTGGGAAAACACCTTTTGGCTATTGTGAATAATGTTGCTATGAACATGGGTATATAAATATCTGTTTGATGCCTTGCTTTCACTTCTTTTGAGTATATACCCAGAAGTAGAATCGCAGATCATATGGCAATTCCATTTTTAATTTTTTGAAAAACTGCAATTCCATTTTCTATAGCCACTGGACCACTTCTCGTTCCCAATAGCAGTGTACAAGGGTTCCAATTTCTCCACATCCTCATCTCTTTTTTTTTTTTTTTAATAATAGCTATCTCAGTGGTGTGAAGTGGGATTTCATTGTGGTTTTGATATGCATTTCCCTAATCTCTAGTAATGTTGACTATCGCTTCATTAGCTTATTGGTAATATGGCCTTATATTTTTCAATATATTTTTTTTCTGGAGTTCTAACCAAGATTAGCCAAATCTTTTTCAAAAGAAACTTATTGCATAGAATTAAGGTTTTTTGTTTTTTTTTTTAGACAGAGTGTTGCTCTGTTGCCAGGCTGGAGTGCAGTGGCGTGATCTTGGCTCACTGCAACCTCCGCCTCCTGGGTTCAAGCAATTCTTCTGCCGCAGCCCCACGAGTAGCTGGGACTACAGGCGCCTGCCACCACACCCAGCTAATTTTTGTATTTTTAGTAGAAACAGGGTTTCACCGTGTTGGCCAGGATGTTCTCAATCTCTTGACCTCGTGATCCACCCGCCTCAGCCTCCCTAAGAGCTGCAATTACAGGCATGAGCCACCGTGCCCAGCCAAATTAACCTATTCTTAAAGTTTTATTGCTGCAGTGAACCTTAGAGATCATCAGAATTCTTAATCTGAAATCCACCATTGGTTTCAGAGTCCATGAACAGCCTGCATTAAAGCAAAATTCTGTCAGCTTCTCAGAAGGGTCAGTGACTCCCCAAAAACATAAGAATTGATCTAGCCCAAAGTCATCAAACTGTTAAGAATCATCTTTTTAGGTCACATTAAGGTGGTGTTTAAATCACTACTTTGTGCCTTTCTGTATTTTCCAAACTATTTTAAATAAACATGCATAGGGCATTTTTTTTTTAATTAAATAAATTCAGTTAAAAAATTAAATTTAATTAAATTTTAGAACCTGAAAAAGTAAAGTCCATCTTTCTTGAACCTCCATAAAAAACAAATCTAAAAGCCAAGAAGAAATGAAATGGATATGATTGTTCTTAAAATTGCCAGCCTTCTCTTATGGTCACAACATTTCCAAGTATATTCCTGCCCTATAAAAAGAATAGTCAGGCTCTGCAACTACAAAAAAATGTGATGTTTACCATTGAATCCATTTCAGCTGAATTCATTGCAATAAAATATTTGCATTTGAGTTTTTTATAATGAGCTTTTACTATAAAGTGAATGTGCAGGTTCTGTAGAAAAGAGATATTTACCATTGAATCCATTTCAGCTAAATTTCATTAAAGGAAAATATTTGCATTTGAGTTCTTTATAATGAGATTTTACTGCTTTTCTTATAATATCTCTACATAGTACTTTCTGTAACAGTTGTTTTAATTTTAAAACTTTGATCACTTAAAAGCAACCAGAAAGAATTTTTATTAAGTAACTATCTTGGATGATATAGACCTATATTCAGTTTATCACCCTAAAAAAAAAAGTAGGAAATATTTAATGTTTTGTAGAGCTTCCTAGGATATCTTACCTATTTAAAGTTTATTGTTAAATTTCCGTATCTACTTCAGTCTTTTTGACTAGGTTTAAGAGTAATTGAAGTAGGTTGGAAGTTCCTCTATCATTTATTATACTTGGGCCTCCATCTTCTCTTCTGTTAGACCGGAACTGCATGGTCCTGTCTAGCTAACCAGCTTTGACATTTCTTTGATCTATATATCTGCTAACTGTAGTGTTTATACTGTGAAAATTTATATTTATTTTATAAATAAATATATAATTTAAATTTTTTAAATTCCTGTTTTTCCTTTTGTAGCTGTATGCAGGAGCTATTCTTGAAGTTTGTGGATGAAAATTGGGAAGGTTCCCTCAAGTCCAAGGTATATAAAATTTACTCCAGTAAGCTGTTCAGTCATTTAAAATCAACATTTTATGTGAATCGTTTTCATTATATATTCCCAGGAATAAGAATTTTTAGGATTATACTTTCTCAACAATAATATGTATTTTTTTCACATTTGTTTTCATGGAGGTGGTTTGTTAAAGTAATTGGTGAATGCTATGTTATTTTAAGCGAAAACAATATATGAAATTTAGAGGCCGGGCATGGTGGCTCACGCCTGTAATCCTAGCACTCTGGGAGGCCAGGGCAGGTGGATCACAAGGTCAGGAGTTCGAGACCAGCCTGGCCAAGATGATGAAACCCTGTCTCTACTACAAATACAAAAAGTAGCTGGGTGCAGTGGCGGATGCCTACAATCCTAGCTATTCGGGAGGCAGAGGCAGGTGAATCACTTGAACCGGGGAGGTGGAGGTTGCAGTGAGCCAAGATCGTGCCACTGCACTCCACCCTGGGCGACAGAGCAAGACTTTGTCTCTAAAAAAAAGAAGAGAAAAATTTAGATTTAAAATACAACACATGAAGGAGTTATTTTCTTAAAAGAAGAGCCTTTCCTTTGCCAGGTGTGAATTTTGCAAGAGCCTTTCCTTTACCAGATGTAAGTGTAATTTCTTTAAGTAGCACACCATTGTAGTGTATTTTAAATGTGAATTGATTTATGTGGAACAATTGCATTAGGAGTAGACCTGTACAAAATAACAAATCACCAAAGAAAGAAGTAATTGCCAAAGAATTTGAAATACAAAAGAGAGAAAGCCATATGTATATATCTTTACAGGGAATTTTAAGGATAAACATGTTAAAGGATAATTGTGAAGGTATATTCTTTGGGTTGACATCAGACAATAATGAGGAGCTTTGCATTACCAAGAAAGGCTTGAACTAAGGCTTTTGTCTTCTGTCCTTGCATGTCACTTTGAAAATCAGTTTTATGAAACTGAACTTGTCTGAAGGTAATAATGCTTTCTCTTTTTTTTTTTTAAATACATAGATAAGTATTTAATTTACATACCTCATTCTACCTCAATTTTTGCTGACATTCCCCTGATTTCTTGCCTTATTTAGTTAATGGCAAGAGAATTTTTTGGATTTAATATTTTATAAAATTGCCTGTATTAGCACATGCTTTTTATTGCTGACCTAGAATTGTTTATAATAAAATATTGATCATTTGGCACAGATACGTAATATAGAAGTTTGACTTGGGACACTTAATGAGGCCAAAGCAGATATATATCTAATCAAAAACAGTCTTTGTTAGAGTAACACATTCTAATATAGCAAAGAAGATACTACTTTTGCTTGAGGAAAAAATTTCTTACTCTGTTTTTTTTTTGTTTTTTTTTGTTTTTGCCTCAAACACTTAAACTCAGAATTGTACCACAGTTGTTTTGGCTTTTTTGTATACATTCTCTGAATGATAATGTGAGCATTCTTATTTCTAGAAAGGTTTAGCAATTGATTTTTAGCTGCATTGATTATACTTACTTGTTTTATTAAAAACAACATTTTATAACTTAGATTTTCGTGAGAATCAAGAGTAACTTCGATACTATGATTAGCCTTCCTAGTTATGATATCAGATTTTATTATCTACGGTAATACATATTATGTAAATTATCAAACCTTAGGGTACATATATCATATTGTCTTTTCCTTTTGAAAACAATTGAATTTTAATGCTATGTATAAATATTTAATTATCTACTTGCTTAAAATAAAAATTATTAATTCCATAATGTGTAACTGTATTTAATATTATTATATATAATATCAGTATTTTCTGAGCCCATGAAAAGTTGTTATAATTGTGATAAAACCATTAAATTCCCACCCTCAGAATTTCCATCTTAAAGATATTCTGAAATACAGCATGGAGAATTGTTGCTATAAAGCAGTAATTACAAATACCAAACTAACTTTCATCACTGCCTCATATTCTTTTCTCTCTCTCTCTTTTTTTTTTTTTTTTTTTTTGAGACAGAGTTTCACTGTTGCCCACGCTGGAGTGTAGTGGTGCAATTTCAGCTCACTGCAACCTCTACCTCCTGGGTTCAAGTGATTCTCCTGCCTCAGCCTCCTGAGTAGCTGGGACTACAGGTGCATGCCACCACACATGGCTAATTTTTTTTATATTTAGTACAGACGGGGTTTTGCCACATTGGCCAGGCTGGTCTCAAATTCCTGACCTCAGGTCATCTGCCTGCCTTGGCCTCCCAATGCTGGGATTACAGGCATGAGCGACTGCACCCGGCCACTGCTTCATATTTTTTATCTTCAACATCAAGTAGCTTCTGGGATTATCATGATAATCTTCATTATACTCTAGCTTATAATACATTGTCAATTTTTAAGATCACTTAATTTAAATTAGCCATTTCATGAAACAAGAGTAAATTAATGTTAAATTATTTCAGAAAAAGGAAGAATTTAAATTTTGGTATGTTTTACCCACATTAAACCACTCAGAGTTGTGTAAAAAAAATCCCAGATCATATTTCTTAGTCAATTCCAAATATGCCTTCTAAAATACCTTTTTTTCCTTATTCTAGTTGCTTAAGTATAGAAGCCTGTCTGTAATAATTTCTCATAGTTGATTCTAGTATTCTGTCACTTCACGTGTGGTGACATCCTAAGTAATCATGTTTTTTTTTCTCTCGCTTGAGTCTTCTGTGTAAAGAATGTGGCTGTCTCTCAGAAAGTAATGTGGTTTATCCCTAATTTTGTAGGGCTTGGCAAACTTTCTGTAAAGAACTAGATAGTAAAAATTTTCAGCTTTATAGGCAACATGAGCTCTGTTGTAACTATCGAACTCTGCTGTTAGAGCACGGAAGCAGCCATAGACAGTACTTAAACGAATGCACTGTGTTCTGGTAAAACTTTATTAACAAAAGCAAGCAGGACAGATTTGGCCCATGGGCCTCAGTTTGGCAACCTCTGTATTAGAATCATAAACCTTCAGACACAAAAAGGAGTTTTGAAGTAATGTAGTACAAGTTGAACATCCTCATAATTAAAAATCTGAAATCTAAAATGCTCCAAAATATGAAACTTTAAAAATGCTGCAAAAAATTACCTTCAGGTTGTATGTATAAGGTATATATGAAACATAAATGAATTTCAGGTTTATATTTGGGTCCCATCCCCAAGATATGTCATTCTATATATGCAAGTATTTCCACATCCAAAAAAATAAAACACTTACGGTCCCGTGCATTTCAGTTAAGGATACTCAACCTGCTTCTCATGCCAACTACGATTGATTGGTAGCCATGCTTAAGGTTGCATTGCTACATTGGAGTTTTGCTGGAAAGAATACTGATCCATTAGCATTATCTTCATTGATTTTCTTGTTTATAAAATGGGTTACAGTTGAGGTATAATAGGTTAATATCTACCTTATAGGGCTGTTCTGAGGATTAATGAGATAACATGTAAATCACTTAGTATGTGTCTGGCACCAGCAAATACAGAGTAAATCATTCCATAATTCTATAAATGTGTATTGATGCTTACTGTATGTCAATCACTGTTCCAGTAATGAAGATGTTAAGTGGTAAGTATTGTTATTGTATCTTATATTTGCTGCTTGGTTAATAATAAGTTTCAATTATGAACCATCAAACATTCATATACTCATACATTGGTCATCTTTAAAAAAACATTCAAGTCAATATATATTATAACTACAACCTTTCTTGTATGTAAAATTCTGTATATTGACCTCTAGCCATTTTTCAAAGTACCATAATGGTGCTTCTCTTTCTACCATTTTACCTCCTGACTACTAAATCTTACTTGGCCCTAGCATTTGAAACTCTCTTCACTTGTGTGACTTCATGATCTCCTAGCTTTCTCCTACTTCCAACATATCTTTCTCTTCTGTTCTAGCATCTCTTTTACTGCCCGCACTTCAAACGTTATTGTTAGTGAGGGTCTATTATCTTCAGATTTTCTTCTCTTCTGACTTTACCGAATGGTGTCCCACTCGCTCAGTTTCAATTACAGTACTTATCTGATGACTCCCAATCTGTATCTTTACATAAAGTTTTATTTTGTTAGAAGTTGTATTTCTTATATTTTTTACTTCCATGGGACATTTCCATTTAGATTATTTCATAGGCACCTTAAACCAATATACATATATGAATCACCTGGGGATCTTCTTAAACTACAGAGTATAATTCTATAAATCTGGGATGGGTCCTGAGATTCTGTATTTCTTACAGTCCTACAGACTGTGGTCCACATTTTTAATAGAAAGGCTTTAAACCCAGCATGTCCAAAAACTGTATTAATCCTCTTCTCTATTAAAAGTATACCATCTTCCCTATTTCTATAAATGGCAATATGATCAGGCAAAAGCATAAGCATGAAACACAGGAATCATGATTGATCTTTTACACTTTATATCCAGTTAGTCACCATGTTGTGTCTCTTCTCCCTCAGTAATAACCTTCATAGTCCCTTTCTCTTTTCTGTATTTTCAATCAGGGCCATAACATCTTTATCCAAAAGGATTAGTTACTTATTATCTAGTCTGCCTCTTTTCCCTTTTCTTACTTCATTACCTCTTTAACACAACAGCCAGTAGAGACCCTTTTCATAAGACAAATCTGATTGTATCTCTTTCTTGCTTAAAATCCTTTATAGTTCTCTGTCACATACAAAATGACATACAAGACTCGCCATGACATAGTTTCTCATTTCTAGATTCACATCTCTAGTTGCAATTCTCTGAGCTCTGACTTCTGGGTGTTTGTACACACTGAAAATTCTTGCTAACTTGTGCTCCTTCCCAATTCTTGTGGCAAATTCCAGTTCATTCAAAATTTGGCTCCAGCGTTGTTTTTGGGTGGTTTAAACAGTGTTTTACTTTTCTTTTTATGTTCCAGAACACCTCCCACATAAGATTATATTTGGCATACTGGTCTTTTGCCTCTCTCAAGCTAGAGCTCAAAGTTTGTGTTCTGTTTTTGT